AGCATTTGTTGCTTGATGTTCTGTTAAATTTTGCTATTTTGACTGGGGTGAGATTATGTCTCATAGTTGTTTTAATTATGTACAGTCTCTTAACTAAGGTTTACTGTCTTTCAATTATAAACTGTACGTGAAAACATTCTATCTTGTGCTCATTTTCATTTCAACCCTTTTTTGAGTCAATGAAAAATATTACAAATTCACTGGTACCTTACTGGCTATATTTGATTTTCTGTGAATGACACTGCAAAGATTATCACCACGCTATGAATTTTATTAATGTTTTGTCATTAAATTAATTATAACATATGTACTGTTAAGAGGGTTGCTCTATTAGACTTGTTCTTATTTTTTTAAGCCATAACCTTGAGGAAAAGAGATTTTATCAATTGACTTTCTTGAGAGTTGACATGACTGTCCCTTTCAAATATAAGAGCTTGCATCTGGATTATTAAATATAACAGAGCTACAATACAATCAGAATAACCTTTTTGAGATATCAATTCTGTGACCATTTAAGCATCTGTCACGATGATAGGTCTTTTCAATGTCTTTATTCCCAACTGCTAAATCCTATTTATATTGTTTTTGAAATTTTCACAGTTTAACATAGTCTTCGCATTTACTCCCAAATATTATGCTTCACCTGATAATTAGATCGCACTGCACCTGTGAGTCATGCACTCAGTGGCAATATGACTTCATTATTTTTGCTTTGTTTTATAGCCACTGACTCTCATTACTTATATTTTTATAAAATATGGAAAGAAGTACAGGACAGTATAATACTGATGGATTAAAATTATCCAATATTGATGCTAGAGAATTGCACAAAAGACATTATCTGTAGGTGAATACATTGCAATTTTGGACAATGTATCTTTAGAATATGTGCCTGTCTCTACAAAAGCCAAAATATATGCTATTTTACAAATTTTATTTGCATTTATTATCACTTATTCATTCTCCATGAAAATATTGCAATATATATTTCTTGTATTGAATTGACACAGTAATAACCAAAAGATATCTGCTATCAGCAGACACTGTACTTAAGACAGTAAGCAGTTAGATTAAAATGATAGCTGTTTGCTTGCCTCAAGAAAGCAAAAAATAAGGGCGAGCTAGTCATGGCTTCTTTCTTGTTAACTCTCTCACTTCTGACAGGGATTCAGCATTATCTGAAGATAGGCTTAAAAACAGTGACACTGTTGTATAACAGGACTGACATTGGGGTTGTGGGAAGAGTGGGAAAGATGGGATACATAATGTATACTGCTTTGAAGCTGACAAGGGAGAAAACTGTTTAAAAGGGATATATGATTAGGTATTATTGTCATGACAGGAGTCTAGATTGAAGGCTGCATAGTGGACTGGACTTGGGGGGAGGGGTTGTATAACAATGAAAGAATTTTTCTTTTACTTTTCAGAGAGAACGAATGTGGGGGCAGGAAGAAAAGTACAACAATGAATGAATGGAAATCCAAAGTCTCTGTAAATTTTCATTAAAATGAATAGTAAAAAAATACACAAAGAAAAAAAAAAAACGGAACAAGTCCTTTACCTGCTAAGCACCTCATCTGTGTAATCCATAAGCTAGTAAATGAAGTGTTAAAAATCATTAAATAATTTCCCAGTATTAATGGAAATTTCCTCCCTACCCAGCTTTATATTTAGTTGAACTGTTTACTGTGCATAGACTAAGATACTACTTCTCCATGAAGAAAAATAACAAGACTAAGTAACAATTTTCAAGATTATGTACATTCTTTTTGTTTTTTCTTTATACATGTCATAAATCTTTGTGTCACAGTGAAGACTATGAAGAAATTCTAAAAAACAAGAGCCTAGGCAAATTGTAGCATATAGTCATTTGTACACGAAGAATTATTTAAAAACAGCTCTTGAATATAAGAATAGTCAAGTGGAAATAGTCCAAATAGCAAGGAACAAAATAATGAATTTGGAAATTTTGGACACACACAGTGGACATTAGCAGAGTCTAGAGAATATTATGCTAAGTGAAATAACTTAGTCACATAAGAAAAAATACTGAATAAAGCCACTACTGTGAAAATAGGAGGATAACTGAACAAGATGTGTAAAAATGTTCTAAAGGGAGAGGAGGAGATAAAAGGGGGTAGATGAAAAGGAAAATGGGGGGAAAAATCACTAATATAGCAGAGTTAGTGGGTGGAGGGTAGGCGAAGGAATGGAAACGTTTAGTGGGAACTTGAAAAGATGGGTTAATCATAGCATAGATCAATGGTAACTTATTATATAAAATGTAATATGTATGAATGATTTTATAAAATGTAAGGTGCATAAATGAAACACTGCATATGAATGACTGTATAAAACAAAGGATATATATAAAGCACAACATATATTCATTATTATATGCAAACCAAGAACAAAAGTTAAGCAATAAAAAAGTCAATGGTAGAGGTTAGTACTAAGTCAGGACAAAAAACAATCCACATTTTATGAACTAAAATTCTTCCCGGATATATATATATTAGAAAGAAAAATCTCAAGAACAATGATAACATTGCACATATGACTCTCAAATAATCTGTTTATAGGAAATCACAGGGATCATAAATACATTAGAATAGACTAGACTACACTAGAATAGAATAGAATAGATTTTTTAATATGTATTTATTGAAAATCAATTGTAATGTTACATATAAGACAGTAACAAAATTCTACCACCTGAACCATAAGCAGTTTTTCTCTTTGGGAGTATCTTTATATAATCTCCATCAACATTCATTTGAGGATGAATACGTTCCATTTGATATGAATCAAAAGAGAAAACTTTGAGAGCTGAAACAAACCAAAGAAATAGTAAGTTCTTTGACATTAGTTAGTTGAATGCATTTATTTTAGTACAGACAATTTTACTCCTCATGATTACAGAAGATGGAGTGAGCATTTTCTGAACATTGGGGCATTATAATTTATGCCTTATATATTTTACCCTAATTTTGAGTTTCACTACTCATGGTTTGGTTTAAACTTTATTGCATTAAAGTGCATATGTACTTCAGGGGTTACTAAATAAGTTACTAAAGCAAAGACGAGCAATATAGAATCTTAGTAAGAGCCTTTTAATATATGGAATATAATGGAATTAATTTCTCGAGCTGCAATTTTTTTACTGGTGTAATTTTTTAAACCATTTCTGGAAAATAATAGCATCATGACAGGTAGGAGTCCTATTTATTATTCACAAGTATGTAACCTCCACTTTGAGTAAATGATTAGATGAGATAGTGAGATAACGATTCTTGTGAATCTAAGACATATAGCAGGATACCACTCAAAAGTGTAATAAAGTTTAAAAAATTAAAAAATGTAATAAAGCTGCATGCAATGATTATTTCAGAATTGTACTGTTTCATCAGATCTTTGCAAACATCCTCAAATTGACCCCAGATTCTGAATGTTTTGTGTATGAGATTGCATAAAACAGGAAACACTCTAATTTTTATGCTGACTGCTCCAAAAGATAAATAAAGGATATCTAAAGGATCTGTATGTCCTTAACACTCACTCATTAATCCTGTGTCATTAGAGGACTTACAGGAAACGACAAGATATTAAGGCATCCTGAGCATTTAAATGCTAAACATTGAGAAAAAGGAGGAGATAGCACAGAGCAATTACATATTTACTATTTATACTCTTGCTATACTTGTATGTATCATAATTAATTTCTACACTGAGTGAAATTAAAAAAAAAGAGAAAGAAAAACTCCAGTATTGATTTAATCAAGACCACTTAAAATATTTTTTCCCATTTTGGAACTCATTTGGAAGGCTCTATGATTTTGAAAGCAATCTTTGCTTCTTACCTACATCACTTGAGTTGGTATCTATATGAGTAGTTTTCTGGAAGTTCTGAGCTATGCTTAACGTTACTTGTTCAGCAGTGTGCATCAGTTTTGTAAGATGAGTTTTTCTAATATTTGTAGATAACTTATCCCAAGCAGTAAATGTATCTTTTTGAACAAAATTATTCACTGTTTTCACAAATTCCTATAGGAGGGAAATAATAAAGGTTTACATAATCGCAAATGTAAAGAACATTGTGAAGCTCAATTCTTTGTTAAAGCCTGACATACTTACAGTAAGTGTTGTATTAGATAGAATATCCTTAGCTGAGTTAGAAGTATTTATGGAACTGAGTAATGGAGATGATTCTTGTAATACTTCTATATATGTTATTATGTCCACTGGTGAAAGATTTCTCACAGAATTTCTAGAGACTTCCTGTAACAAAGCCACAGGTTCTTCTATAGTTCTAATCTGAGAGAGAAAGAAATGTCCAGGAAAAGAAACAAAACAATTTAGAGTACTGTATGCTAAAGAGCAGCTTCTAAAATCACTCCGGATTATTTAATGTAGAATTATCAAATGTAACTTAATTTTAGTACACTTTAATCAACTTGAGAAAATTCCTTAGAATCAAAATTTCCTTTAAATTTGCTATTTGAGTACTTATATTGTATTCTGACCTTCAATCTCATAACAATTGTGTGAATGTCCTACAATATTTACTCTTTAAAATACTCACTTTGAAGTACAAAATACAGTTGCATTCAATTCCATAACCTCTTTTAAGTGTAGGAGAAGGCCTGAGGTCAAGAAAATACTTGTATTTTACTCATCAGCTTTCTTTATATGTTGAAAGTTTTCCATTATGCCAAATAATGAAAAAGTAACATAAATTAAATATGTAAAAGTATTCTTCAATACTTCGGGGATTTTCAAATTAATCCTATCTACAACTCAAATGCTTAGATTTCTCTATATAAACAGTTTCACCTCTATGAAAAGCTCAACTGCTTGCTACTATTCTGAAGATGTAATATTGGAAGGATGTGAACAGAAACAAGAATATCAAAGTAAAACAGCTTTCTAATTCAACTAATCTACTTACTTTTGTTAAAATTTTATTAATATTTGCAGCAAGACAGGCATTATCTAAATGGCAGTTTGCATCCACATTTTCTGTAGAAAGAAAAAAAAATAGATTATCTTGTTTCTTAAAATATTTTTCCCCTAAGCTGACCACATTGGTTCAAGTAATTTTGCTCACTTAAGGGATATAAAAGAAACGTTACTTAACACTTGCTTTTCCTTTTCCTCTTAAGAATACAACATAATTAATGGATAATGAAAGAAAGCAGGATTAAGGGACAGGACATGTTAAGTGGTCTAAGACATGTGGTCTACATATTCCATTAATAATGCTCTTTGATTCTTAATATTTTATAAACAATAAAGAAATAGGACACGTTCTTGGAAAACATCAAATTTAATAGTGTATTGCTCTGCAGCACATATTTTATTTAACTCTTTATTTAAAAATCCAGTGTCAATGAGTCTATGCCAACTCACTGTTGTTGTGCCATCGAGTTGCCAGAGACTCAGCAACCCTGTATGTACAGCAGTTCTAAAGCCTGTCCTGTCGTGACCCAGTCTCACTAATTCAGACATACCTAGTCCTACTGCCCCAGTTACTGTATTATAGTGACCATTTAAAACAGAGTAGAACTAGCCTAAAGGTATTCTACGTCCAAAAATCTCCAGAAAACAGACTGCCTCATCTCTTGCCAGTGAAAAGTATGGGTTTGAACCTCTGACCTTTCAGCTTGCAACCAAACACTTTAATCACTTCTGAGTCCTTTAGTGATACATCCAATTTACCTTGACAGTAGGTGCCTTCATTAGGTTTGAATTGTAAACTTCCAGTTGGTGTCTGATAACCTTCCTGGCAGGAGCAGTTATAGCCACCAGCCACATTTTTACACACCGCATGATCACCACAGGCAACTGATTCACTACATTCATCTATATCTGTAGATGGTTGAACATTGAAAATTTTATTTAGTACTCATATAGCTGCCAAGTGGTTGACTGTATTAAAATATTAAATTATTTTATATTAAATTTTGAGTATTCACAACAAAAAATGCAATTATTTAAAACATATCTGAGAAATCTGTACCTTCTTAATGTTTTTATATTGAGTGTTCTGACAAAGTAGAAATTATTTAATTATTTTCTGAATATTGTTGTTTATCAACAAAACCACAAGAGTATTTTTCATTATTAATGATGTAGCATTTAGTCCTTAATTATCTGGGGCTACCACAACAGAAATTTCCTAAAAGAAATTTAACAAAGAGAAAATTTAGGGTATTTTCCAGTTTTATGAGGCTAGAAGTCTTATTCAAAGTGCCAGCTCTAAGAAATGGCTTTCTCACCCTAGTTCTGGAGGAAGACTGTATACTACGCTTAGTATAATCTGGAAGGGGAGAAAATGGGGGGAAAAAAAGATTGGCTCAGTTTCTTAACAAAGCTTTGAGATTTTTACATGTAGTTTGCAAACTAGAATGTATAATAAAATACATGATTTAATTCTTTTAAAACTTTGTCGTAGCTTTTTCAAGTTATACTTTATTTTCTACTGGGATATAAAAAAACTACAGAAAAGTTGGATTTTCATTCATTCATTGTTGCACATTTTCCTCCTTAACCCCCCAGTCCAGATCTGTTGTTTTTTAAAAAATTCATAGTTCCTTAATTTCCTCCCTTCTCTCCCACCACCCCCCAAGCCCCACCACCCCCCAAGCCCCATTTGCTATGCATCTCTTATTCTGGACTGCTGTCATACAAATAATTTCTAATTACATGTTCCTTTTAAACAGTTCTCTCCTTCATCTATTCCAATGTCAACTTATATTTTATTATGGTATTTAATATATAACAATTACCAGAAAAATTGACAAATTATTTAGAATAAAATTTTGTACTGTCAATAAACATGTATGCAAATGACAACTGAGGTTCAAGGTTTCAAATTCTTATACTTACTAACTACATTGATGTATACTTTAAAATATAAATGCAGTATAAGCACTACGTCACAATAGGGGATGATTCTAGGAGATGGGAGAATCTAGATAATTTATTTCTTATTGATGTTGTGTGTGTGTGTGTGTGTGTGTGTGTGTGTGTGTTCCCAGGTCAGGTACAGCCAACATAGAGATACTTTGTTATAATAATAATAATAATACATAGTTGTACATACAATTATTATTCAAAACTTATACTTGAACCAAGAGGCAGTCATCAGAACAGAGCAAGGAATCACTGCATGGTTCAAAATTGGGAAGAGCGTATGCCAGGGATGTGTCCTGTCTCCATACCTTTTCAAACTGTATGCAGAGCACATCATCTGGGAGGTTGGGCTCTATGAGGAGAAATGCGACATCAAGATTGGTAGAAGGTCTATCAACAATCTGCATTATGTACATGACATAACCCTGCTTGCTGAAACTGAGAAGGACCTGAAGTGCTTGCTGCTGAGGGTCGGGGACTGCAGCCTTCAATATAGATTGAGGGTCAATATCAAGAAGACAAGAAGTCTCACCACTGGACCAACTGGCAGCATCAGGATAGATAGTGAAGAGATTGAGATTGTTTATAGCTTTAGTCTGCTTGGCTCCACAATCAACACTCTTGGCACCAGCTGCCAGGAAATTAAAAGACATTGCGATGGGAAAGTCTGCTGTTAGGCACCTCTCTAAAGTACTCAAGAGCAACGGTGTGTCTCTGGAGACTAATGTGTCTCTGGAGACTAAGGTGTGTCTGGTACAGACCATGGTCTTTGCAATCACTTGATATGTTTTAGAGAGCTGGACATTGACCAAGGAAGCATAGAAGGAGAATTGATGTTTCTGAGCTTTGGTATTTGAGAAGAGTGCTGAGGGTACCATGGACTGCTAAGAAAACAACAGATTCATCCTGGAGAGGGTTAGACTGGGATGTTCCTTGAATTCAGAGACTTTGTCTGACATATTTTGGTCATGTTGTGAGGGACCGGTCCTTGGAGAAAGACATCATGCTTGGGAGGGTGGAGGGCAGGCGCAAGAGGGGAAGGCCCTCTAGGAGATGGATTGATTCGATGACTGAGGCAATTGGGATGAATGTGTCAGAGACAATGAGATTGGCACAGGACAGAGCAGAGTTTAGAGCTGTTGTACATAGGGATGCTATGAGTCACAAGCGATACGACGGCACATAACAACAACAACAATAATAATATTTGTTGTAATAATAATCCTGAAATATTAGTTATTAATTTTTATAACTAATAGAATGACACAATGTAATTTATTTTAAAATCAAAAGAAAATTCTGTTTAATTAAAAAAAATCTAACCATTTCCAGAGAATATATGTTTGTATCTTCTTTAAAAATGTAATAAAGTCAGATGTATGTGCACACATGCACACAAACACAGAGGGTAGAGAAGAGACAATCTTAGATTTTTTAAAAAATTATGACAAAACTAGTAGTTTGGCAGGAGATTATGGTGGCTTAGTGGTTAAGGAATTGTGCTGCCAACACAAAGGCAGGTGATTCTAATCCACCTGCTCTAAAAGAAAGATAGGCAATTTTCTCGCCTGTGATCCTTAACCACTGAAAACCTGCAGGAGGGCCAGCTATGGGTGAGTTCTGAATTGATGACAGTAAGTTTCAGTTTTAACTGAATGGCACAGCAGTACTACATCTGAAAAGGTAGTTAGCAGCTGAAGCCTGAAAGATGAGAAAATGCCTTGATCTCCTGATAACTCTACATATGCATCATCCGTGCTGTCAGAAACTGGCATGCACTGTTTTTAAAGAAATTGGGAAATTACCTCTTTCTCTCACTTCTACGTCTATTCTGAAACTCAAGCTTTATCAACTCATGAGGACTTTGTGTACTTCAGAGTAAAATATGTTCCATCAGGTTTCTGATGGTTGATTTTTTCCATGTAAATTATTTAGCCTTTCTTCCAAGGTGTCTTTGGGTGAATGTGAACAACCAGTTCTTTGGTTAATACCCAAGCAATGTTTTCCTTTTCTTTGCACTTCCCTGGGATTCCATTCTGAGAATACTATCCCATTAAAAAAATGAAGAAGAAAGGGAGCAAGCAGTGCCAGACTCACTGCTGGGTTGTATAGAATCATCAAATAGTGTATTTTAAGTTATTCTTGACCTAAAGTTTCCATTTCACGATACAAACAAGACTTAGCCTTATTCATTATTTATTAAACTAAAGAAAAAATATAATCCTTTTAGACTGATTTTACAGAAATAATACATACTATATGTCTCAACTCTGTTGGATCACCTCTTCGACAATCAAAATAAATATGGATCTCTTCCAGTTAGTTGGCCTAGTAGTCATCCTCTAGATTTCTTGGCACAACCTTGTGAGCACATTCAAGGACTGCATCTGTTTGTTGAAATATGTCAATTGGTATTCCATAAATTACTGGGGCTTTATTTTATGACAATTCTTTCAGAGCAACTTGAAGTTTGTCCTTCATCATCATTGACTCTTAATTATATGTTGTTTCTTATCATATGTTGTTTATTTTAAATTCTTCTGTGTTAGCCAGTTATTTTTATATAGTATGACTTTAAAACAAGCGTGGAAGGAGGAGTGACATCCACTTCTGTAACAGCTTGCCTCCGGAAACCCTATGAACCTGGAGAGAGGATGAAAGGCACCCAAGTGTCAAGGACTCTCCTTCACAGGGTCGCTATGAGCAGCCTGCGACTTGACAGCACTTAACAACAACAACAACAACAACAACAACATAATAACTTTGTATAGTGACTCTTTGTACTCTTCCATCTTCTTTTGATGCTTCCTGGATCATTCAGTAATCTGTCCATTGCATCCTTAAGTACTGCAACTCAAGGCATTATTTTCTTCTTCAGTTACTTCAGTTTGAGAAATGTCCAAGTGAGTTCATCCCCTTTGATTTTTCTGACTCCAGCTCTTTTCAACTTTCTTTGTAATACTCTTTTCATTGTCTTCCCAAGCTGCACTTTAAAGTTGTTTTTTTTTTTTATTTTTCTGGTTTCTTTTTCTTTGCTTTGACTTCTCAGAATTCCAATACAATATTTCTAGTTTCTTCTGACACCCAAATCATTCTCTTCTTCA